GTTTCTGCCGTTGGAAGAGGCGAGCCGTGCCCACAGCTCTGCCCTCTGGCCGTCCATCCCCACTCGCAGAGAAAAAAGGAGCTCAGAGCACCAGGCCCTGGTAAAGCTCTCCTGGAAGTTCCCCCCTCCCCGCACCACTGCTCAGCTCCATCTCCCTCAGACACACACTGGCCAGCAGAGTTTAAGCCCATTCAGGGCCACCTACAGTAGCACTCTTGTTACGCCGTGTTACTTTTTATATCCGGCATGTACCAGTGGGCCATTTCGCTGTGGGCATTTCTGAGAGAAACCTCTTCATGACAAGAAAAAAAAGGGATAGTTAGTCAGCCTGATTTTCATTTTCAGCTGAAAATACATCTAGAAATCTATCTAGAAAGAACAAGCTCAACTGATTCTAACCTAAAATTGTTCTAAAGTTCTGTCCAGTTAGTTTCGATGCTCTCATAAACCAGTGTTCTGTCTCAATGGAGTAGGATAGAAAAATACTTAAGTAATCCCCAGTGGGGAAAATTCCACATAGATGTTGAACATCTTATGAAAAGAGCAGCAACAAGTTTTGGCATCCCTCCTATTTTTAACAGCGGTCTGTAAATGTTTGGGAACCGAGGAATCCGGTGGCCTTTGACCCTGACCTTCCTACTCTGTCAAAGCAAATGTGGGACCTCTGTTCTTGTCTTCTTGGACTGTTCATGGGTCGGGGCTCTTTGTTGTCTTAGTTATCGTTTGTTTTGGGGACAATGGGTCCTGGATTTTCAAAACAATTTTACTTTCTGATTTGTCTCGCGACAGAACTTTTATTCTGTTCCCCGTTTTGAATGCAGATCCTTACCTCATGCAGTGATGTCAATGGCACAGTCATATTTTTTAATGCCGTGCTGCCAGGGGGCGTCCTCTTACTCATTTTTACCAGAGTTTGTTGCACACATCTCTTGATGTCTCACTGAATCTCTTCATGATGTTGTAGACCGCCCGTTTGAGTGGCCTACATCGTTATTATGCAATCATTTGTAGCATTCTTTTACAGGTCATTCACCATTTGGGATTTTTTTTAATTTGAAGAGGTTTATCTCTCAGATGCTGTTTTTTAAATACTTTTTATGTAAGGTGCTACTGACTTGTTGCCAATTAACCTAATTAGTTTCGGCATTTCCCCTCCAGTTACTTCTTTTGTTTTCCAGCTCACTGTTGCCATCGTCCAAGATGAGCTAATAAGAAATGGTACAATGACTCCATGTTTTCTATCATCAATTACATTTGTTTCATTAGATATTAAAACCTGTAGTTTTTTTTAATATAGTTGGGCCTTTTAAAGAGTCAAAAGTGTGAGTGCGGTACTTTTTCTTGAATAGGCCTATTGGTCATTGACTTACAGTCATTTGATACGTGGTAAGAACGTACACATGTTATCTGTTAGGCTCTCTGCTCAGAAAGGAATGGTAATTAACTGGAATCTCAAACAAAGTCCAGCAGAGCGGAAGAGTGCAAACCTGTTGCAGACACATACCAGCTGTCAAATGATGCATTCATTTCCACATTCAAGCACATCAAACTGTGGTCAGAGTAGCCACATGTTTTTTTTTCTTATCATGCCTACATCTTATTTGCTTCATGCTTTGTACCAGTAGTGTCCACTAGTGCTGTGTATATCTTCACAAAATACATTTGGCAATCGTGAAAAAAAAAAAGAAGTTGTGTTTTTAGCAGAACCATTACGCACTTTTGAATAAACCCAAAGAGAGTTTTGAAAATCTTTTATAAGGCACTGGGTGGAGGAATTTCTCAGCCTGCAGAGGAACACGTAATCCTTTCGACTTGTGTCAAAATGTCAGCGTTACTAATTACAACTTTTTCATATGCCAACGACAAGTTGGGCTTGAGAACTTTATTAAAGGTGGAACACTAGCATCAGTGAAACATGTGCAACGTAAACAGAGGGAATGGCTGAACTGTACAGTGTGTGACGGCAGAGAACGCCCACCCAGAGCACTCAGAGAGAGCTGCAGCACTATGTAATGCCTTGGCCTCCCTGTGACGGCTCTCTGCCAGCTCTGCTCTGCTCCGCTGCCAAACAAGACCACAACATGGGCCTCTCTGCCTCAGCGGCAGGCCATCTACTATTACAGCCATGCATGGCTGACCCCAGGCCTACCAGCTGTTCACAGGCGCCGTAAATCTCCGTTGGGTGATAGTCTCTTTACAACCAGCTCGAATCAGCTGTGCTACAAAAAGACTGCACCTAACTGGACGCTGAAGGCCTTAATGATAATCGTTCTGTCCGGCCCCACCTGTTCCATGTGGCTTCGCGTCTCCACATTTGTTAAGAACCTTTTTCTAACATTGCTGTTTACTGATGTTGCCAGTGTGACCGGGTTCTTCGCTGGGCTGGAGCGTTGCCCTACTGCCAGGCGCCCGGAAACTGTGAGTCATCGTGAAATTCAAGCTTCCATTCATAACGGTTGTGCCCATAAATTATATATTTTTTTAACGCCCTCATCAAGACCCATATCATCACTCTGCCTCCTCTGTGCTTCAGTGCCAGGAGTGCACCGGCCAGGTTCATACCAAACATGCTCCGCCCAATTTTAGCTCCTTACCTTTTGTACCAAAAAGTGAGCAACCAGAGCACAATACTTAATGCACTGCAGTGGAACAGTTCATGGTCTAAAATGTCAAATACAGGGGGGTCAGTCCAGTCTTTTAATGGACTTATTGGTAATGATAGATTTCTCCTCAGTGTGAGTTATAGTTAGTAAGTTACACTGCCTACTGTCTCACTAAAATGAACACAATGAACTATTTCTAGCTGACTGGTTCATTATTGAAGGTTTTTATTGTTTATGTGCTGCATGAATAAAAAAAAAGTAGAGAGAAGGGGGAATTCTTTACAACAAAGCCAAACCTAAGGCAATACATTAATAAAATGAAATATTCCAAACCTTTTTACGAAAGAAAAGAAGACCAAAAGAAACTAATATTGTGTTCATAATGAGCTTTTTTTTTTATTTAAAAGCACATACAGTGGAGCTAAGTACATTTAGCAGAGAAAAACAGCATTATCACTATTTCTTTTGTACAAAAAATGAGAGTACAAAAATACTAATTGAGTTTCATTACATTTGAGGGCGTATTTTCTGAATGCATATTACAAATGGAACTATTACACTCTACAATAGTTTAGTTATCTTGATACAAAAGTCTGTCAATTGATGCTTTTCAAGCAGCATTTTGTAAAGAACACAGGTCTGTAATCATAGTGGATATATCTAAACACGTTAAGAAACAATATCTTACAGAGTTAATTTTAGTGATCTATACATTATTTATATATTTATAAAAAAAGAGAGAGTGAAAACGGCTTTGTGAAATGATAGGACGGACTATACGATGAAATCGGTCAACACGGAGGCTTGTGTTGTTGGATGAGAATATCTGAGTGGGCTGCAAATTAAAAAAAAAAGGAGCTCTGGTTACTGTACAACTGTTAGTGATTATACAGGACAGGCTATGGACATGCAAGGTTAAAGTTGCGTCGTAAGCAGAGAATACAAATATTAGATCCACAGTTTTCGTAATGTTCACCTGTGCTCACTGACGCCCAGTGGCACGCGAAGAGGCACGCACACTCACACACACACACGCACACACACACGCACTTGGCACAGCTGATCACAAGGGGAAGGGGGCGGGGGGGGGGGCGGGGTCTTTTCACAGGTCACAGGTGGCTCTTGCACATGCACACAGGAAACGACACAGCGAGTGTACCCACACACGCACAAGACTGTACAAAGCATTCACACACACACACACACACACTGAGAGACAGACATCCATTTGCCAATGAGTGGTCGGGTGGGTGAGAGCTCGTCCCTACCAGCAGAAAGAGCCCAAATCATCCCCTCCCCCAAAAAAAAAATGTGCCAGCTTCGCTGTACATCGTCACCCCCCCCTTCTCGCCACGGCGACAGACCACACCCCCTTCGCTCCATCTAACTATCACCTTTCCTGTTCAGGAATATCGGCTGACATCAGGAAGGGGCGCGGCGCAGCCACGCCTCTCACACGGGTGCCGGGGGGGGGGGGGGGGGGGGGGGGGAGGTCTGCCTCCCCCTCCTTCCACAGAATACGTCTCCCCCCCCCTAGACAACTTCTAACCACAAGAACTGCAACATCCCGGGTTTGGGCCGCACTGACAGGCCGCTGCAAAGCGCTTAATAAACGCTGAGGTGGAGACGGACACCCGTGAGGCTGGAAGGCTTCACGTTCCAAAGGTTTGGAGGCTGGGATGGGAAAACGGCCCCCTCCACAGCTCCTCTGGTGCAGGGTTCAAGTGTGTCTCGGGGATGTCGGCGCTATCAAGACTTCACAGTCAAACATCTCAGGCAGCAAGTGGTGATAACGGACAATGACATTAAAAACAGTGCTATAAGTTATATTTTTTTCTATCCCGCTAATAATTTCATGCTGCTAATTATTGCAGTAATATTCTTCCCTCGGCTCAGGAAGTTGTTGTCCGACAGTGATCCAAGGCCACAGAGAGTTCAGAGAGGAGGCGCTCCTCTCTCCATATGCAGGGGTTTGTCTTTTGCTTTAGTTTTTTTTCCTTCTCATTTTCCTTTTTTTCCCGCTCGCATTTCTTCATGTTTTCCCTTCATGTGATCGCACTTCTATCAAACCTCCACACCGTCAGCTCTGCCTGTCAATTTTTTCTAATAATTTTGGACTCTCCGATTCGTTTCCGTCTCCGCTCAGAAAGGATGGGCTCAAAGGTTGATTAGTAGTTAAACGTAAAAATAATAAGTCTGGATAATGAGAGTGGACTCTGCTGTGCAAATCTGACACCCTAGTCCACCCAGGTGCCCCGGCGGGCACCGCAAAAAGGGGGAGGAGGATGCCATTTAAGAAGCAGCTACAGTCTCTTGTCGCTACATTCTACTGTCCGATGGGAGGTGAGCAGCGCTGCGGTGGGCTCCTCAGTCACAGGAAGGAGGCAAAGCCCCCCCTCACACCATGTTGTGGTGGTTGTTCCTGTCGATGATATCGGATGAGGACAGCAGCTCCTTCTTGATCGGGGAGGGAGGGGGCGTGGTCAGCTTGACCCTGGGCTTGAACAGGTCCGACACGTAGAAAACCTACAGACAGAAAAATGGAGATTCGGTTAAGTTTTAGACGCAGATACGCCAAACTGATGGACAGCAAATTGGGACTTACATGGTGCATCAACCTCAAACCTACATCAGCTGTTCGTAAAGAAAAGGTTCTGTTGTTTCATTTTTCGTTTTTCTTGAATGTTTTGAATAAAAAATAAACTTTACACAAAGTAGTCCACTTGACATAGTTGGTGCTGAAAATGGGTTTTATGAACATTGGGATCGCGTGAGAAAAAAAAGCTTTTCTTTACAAGTTCCAAGTTGCTGTTTGTGGAAAAAACATGAGCAATGGTTACCAACAGAAAAGAGTCACGATTATTACAGAGCTTCCCGGGAAAAAGAGGAAAAAAAAGAATCCCCCCGACAGCACAGCTGACTGAACAACCAGAAGTGATTGCAGAAAATCAAAGTAGATTACAAGTCAGCTAATGACCCGTGGCAGGTCTTAACAGGATTCCTGTGAATATGAACCCACATGTTCTCCTGTCTGCTCTGGAATTCTGGAAATATGAGCTGGCAAAAGGGGGAAATTACGATAGACTGTGACATCAGGATGAGGAACGCCCCGTCATCTTTACGTGCCATACTTTATGGAAGATAACCATGGTGACTAATACGTCTGTGGGACCTGATCCAAGCGCAGCTCTGCTTATTAGTTTTATTTTCTGGAATATACCCATGGCCCATTCCAAATCGGAGGAGGAGTTCAGTCTGCCCGGCAGTGCTGACAACAAAGGAAAAGAGGAGGCAGAAAGGAAATCCCTTCCTGAATATCCCAATGACATTATGCGTCTCACAGGAAAATGGGGAGGAATGTTTAGGAAGACGGTGCATGGAAACTACTGTCCAGATAAATGGTGGATTACCATTTCCACTTACACAGGACGAGGGTCACTCATGAGCTATGGTGCCTTCAGCTGTCGGCCAACACACACAAACACACACTCAACTGGCAGGCGCGGCAGCTTTTCCTTCTGTGCTGCCAGTCCTGAGTGAACTCAGGACTTGTGCCAAAAAAGGGGGGGGGGGGGGGGTCATTCAACACAAACTGAAAGACAACCTACTGTGCTCCACCTCCTATGGGAAAACAATATGGATGCTTCTCATTGGAGGGTTACGCGGCGCTCTCATTTGGGAACCGTCCCATGGGAAAAATCAGCCCGAATTTCGGTCTTTGTCTTTGTTTCCTGGAGGAATGCTGGACGCGCTATGGCCATTCTATTTATGTACGGTAACTACAAGCGTCTCATTCTGGGCTGGGCTGGACGTGAAGGCCTTCTCTGACCCCGGCCCACGCCTGGCGGGCCGTATGTACTGTAGGTAGGCACCTCCGTGATGTGCAGCTGCTGCCCTGCTCCGCGTGTGAAATGGGCTCTTTGTTCGGCACGTCTAATGTGGTATATGGTGATATGAGTCGGAGAAAGGAAAGGGACATGAGGTCATATCGCTGACAGTCACGCCAGCCCCGATGGGAAACGCTCCAGACTCGTTTCCCACCGCCGTCCAATCGCAGGGGGCGAGCCTCGCCGCGTCACCCCAACTCCAACCTATCACCTCTGAACTGCGGCGGCGGAGGGCTTATCGTGACCTCACCACTTCCTGCCTGCGACAGACACACACACACGCGACGACACGCACACGCACAGGCAAAGGCCTCCGGCCTCATTGTTTTTTGGGTAACGCAACTCAGCAGCTTCTGGCCTTAACGTGTTCACGCGTGAAAACAAAACAGAATGGCCTTTTACATGTGCGCGTTATCACATGCGTGGATTTGCTATGAAGCGCATAGCGCATTTGGTGATATAAGTGTGTCAAAATAGCTGAGTCGCACAGGAAGTGAGAGGATCGTCTCAAAAGGGCACGGGCCAGAAGAAAAACTCCCCCACATAACCACTCGACATCTGATCTATGCACCGAAGAATGAAACAGTACGGTTGTTGGCACGCAAGCGGAACCAGGTCTTTACACCACTGCAGCTTAACTGACACGATACGACCACATTCTGTTCTACGGCTATTAGTCAGCGGGTTATAGAGAACTGAGTATAACCTCAGAAAACATTCAATTATAATGCATCACACCGTGGTGTCATTTAATGAAACAAAAAGGACCTAAGCATGGTGTGCGATTCCCTAGCTTGTAGAACCATGAGTAGCAGAGCTAACTTCTACCAAATCCTTTGTATGCTTCTGTTTATTTTCTACGATGTTCTTTTCTACGTTCATTGCCACTGTCGGCCCGCCTTGGCATCAAATGCATCTGAGTGGCAAAGTGCTACTAAAGTGGATGGAGTGCTGATGTGGATACCGCAAACAATACTGTCTCATTTTAAAATGATTCATGGTGTTTCACTTTTTGAGGATTGCTAATCTATTCAGACTGACTCAGCTAAGAACTGAATTTATAATTCAACGCAACAAATATGTATCTCATCTTCAAAGGTGCACAAAGCTCACTGAACGAGGGGGAGAACAAAGGGACAGTAAACAACACGTCACTGCATGTGAATGTGCTCACACACATCAGCATTGTTAGCTTACAGGCACTCAGAGGAGGTGAGTGGGAATCCTGGAACATGGACAGTTACTTATGTGCACTGGGGGGGGGGGGAGGAAAAGGACAGCTCATGAGGCTGTGTAGCTTATCTGTGTGGTAGCAGGGGAAAGTATTATGACTACACACAAACGCACATGTGTGACATGGATTGAATGGCTGGTTTAAGTTCTTTGGTTGTTCTTATCCCAGTTCAGAGTTGGGGGGGTTCTTCTTTTAAAACATATACACAAACTTATCCTGCATCAGGCCTAAATGATGGAGGCTTTCTGTGTGTGTCAAACAGATAAGCAAACTGCTTGCTTTTACATTTTGTGATCTCCTCCACTTACTCTTCATTTGATATAAAAATGGATATACATTTTAAAAAAGATAAGGCACTGAAGATCTAAAGGTGTTCACACCTGGATTTGCTCTTTGGGACTGGCACTTGTGAGCCCCAGAGCTTCAGGACCTCCTCTGACATGCCTCCGCTCTTCTCCTGTCAGGTCCTTTCTGCTCCGCCGCTTGCCAAGAGGCCAGGCAGCAGAGCTAAAGTGCTCACAGATGTGCGTTTTGACGAAGACCGGGCAGATCAGGGGGAGTGGAGGACTGTAAAGCTAAACCCTGCCGCCCCGATCGGCGGGGGGTTCTGTTTTCCTGCATTTATACACATTCACATGTGGTGTGAACACATGAGGATGAGAGTAATGTGAGCCTTGAGCTGTCTTGTGCGTGTAGGAGGTTCCAGATCTGAGTTGGATAAACCCACACTCATCCCGAGCCAAGACGCAGACAAGGTTCCACTCTCATGTCAACCCCCCCCCCCAAAAAAACCCAGCCTCGTCTCCTCTTGCCAGATCTGCCCATTCGGAGGTCGAGCTCAAACACTGAGTGCATTTCTGAAAACATCATTTTCTTACTTGTCAAGGCTTTTGGCATCCATAAGCTACACCCTGATTCATTTCTTTCTGCGCGTGCGTCTTTTTGTTACACTTCTGCTCGCAAATCCTTTAACGGCGCTGGCGTTGGGGTGCACCGTGGTGCTGTGTGTGTGTGTGACTCTGAGCCCGACCGGTGCCAGAGTCCGCCTCGGCGCCACCACTAAGGTCCCTCTTAATTTTATGAATCTAACTCGCTCCACGTTTGGGATGTGGGTTCCGTGTAAAGGTAAAGAGTTTTTCTCTGTGTGCGTGTGTGTGTGTGTGTGTCCTTTTTGCCAGAGGCAGCAGAGTTTAGCAGGAGCCTGCTGCGCTGACAGAACCAGAGCCACCAAATAAAACCCCCCCCCCAAAAATTCACCGCCCCCCTCCCGTTTGCTTAGCCCCCTCCCCCCCCCCCCCCCGTTTTTTTCTCTCTACACTCCCCCTGCTTTCCTCTTGACCCAAATTCAATTTTCCTTGGCTCCGTCTCCACCCAATGTAATGATTACGCCTATGAAAATCATCTGGAAACCACCATGTGGACTTGTCACAAAAGCTGTGATGAAGGCTGAGTAGAAACACACACACACACACACACACACTTCTGAACAAAGTGTTGGCTGTGGGCAATGTGCTGGTCATTAAAGGGAATCAGATGTATGCCTCATCCCTTTTTACCAAAGATGGAGATGAGAGAGGGCATGAAAAAAAGGAGCGATTTCAGGGGGTTGGCATCTATTTGAAGTTTCTATCACATGGGCTATCACTCCCCGTCTTCTTCCTGTGCATATCAACCTTTGTATCTTGTACAGTTTGCAGGGATGGTGTGCTTTCTGTGCCACTCACTATGCAGTAGGCCACCAGGGCTCCCTGCACGAACCCGGCCAGGACGTCGGTGGGGTGGTGCTTGTGGTCGGAGACGCGCGACAGGCCGGTGTAGAAGGCCATCATCAGCAGGGTGAACTGGAGCAGCGGGCGCAGGAGGCGAGCGCCGCGCCACGTGAACCTGGACTGGATGTAGAACTGCAAACAAGAGAAGAAGACGGACAGGTCAGCGCGTAGACCCAGACAAAAACAGCTCAGGTATGTGAGGTGAGACACCGGATCCCCCATCGCCGGCACAGGAAGCGTTTTATTCAGGTGTCAGGGATGAGCCGGAGGTTAATGCACGCCGCCTGGCCTCCTTAACCCTGCACCTGCGGCCTGTGTGTGTGTTTTTAACTGTCTCAAAGTTCTACGCTGAATCAAAGCTGGCAGACTTGCCAGACCAGCGGGGAAACACACAACACACACTCACATCTGACTGCCTGAGACCCGGACGTGACCCATTCATGGTTAAACATCCCAGCTGTATAAACAGCCCAGCCACAGAGTACACACACACACACACACACACCTATATGCATGCTCTGCCATGCACTTTTCAACACTGGGATGAACTCTCTCCCCTCTATGAGAATCAACAGCAGATAAAGCGGATGCACCATTCCCCCTCCACGCTCTCCTCCTCCCCGAAACGACCATTTTCTGGGTCACGATAAAGACCGGGTGGGGGGTGGGGGTGGATACCAAAACAGGAACAAACTCCCAAGGCCGCTGTCGGCCACTCCACCAAGCGCTAGCACGTCGCAGGGCTGCTTTTTCTTCATCCGTTTAACGCTCCAGGTCGGCGCAGGTTGCTCAGACTTCCTGTGTTTCTGCGCCCGTGTACCCAGAACTTCCTGTCTCTCAGACTAAGACACACAAGGCCAGCAAGGGGCCGGCCTCAGCTCCAGTCCGGCCCGGCCCAGACCTCCATATTTATGTCATATAATCAGCCAGGCTAACAATACTTCAGGACAGCCACAGAGCCGCCCAGCAACCCCCACCATCCACACCGGGCCCTTTTAGGTGTGGACGTAAATCTCCCGGGCGCTTCCTCTAAGGCACTCTGTCATTGTTCTCCTCCTGACGGAACAGGAGGAAACAATCCCTCCCATCCCTTCTAGTCTTGGTCTCCTCCTCCTTGGCGGGGATGTTTACACTTCAGGCTTCCTTTGCTGTGGTTCTCAGGTAAGAGGGCAAATCCCACCGATAAGGAGTGCGGCCGTGTCCAACCCCTGAGCCCCCGGGTCCTTTTAGTGCTTTGATACGGGACGGGGCTGCGAAAAGGCCGCGGCTGGAACTTAGTCAAAACAAGAAGTTACAGTGACCTGTCATCAGCTTGACCTTATCTAACTGCGGGGCAGTGAGTAAACCCAGATAACCCAGTCCAGGCCTGATTCTGCAGAAGCTACACACACACACACACACACAAAAAGTCACGATAAACGATTGAGAGGGTCAATGACTGTCTGAGTTTGTCTCCTTAAATCTTTAAAAGGGTCAGACGTCCTAGAATTTTGCCCCAATAGCTAGATCTGACCAAAAAAACAAAAACAAGACTGTAAAACACTACAAAAGCACCCAACAGATTCCCGTGACAGGGCAAGACGAGAGCGACACAAAGTCTGGTGGTTTCTGAAGGAATCCGGCTCATTCCACTGAGCGCTTCATGCTCTGTCTCTCTCGCTCTGACTCAGAATCAGCGTTATATTCAATAAAACACAAACAAAGAAGTGAGAAAGAACTGGGAACACGGGCTTGTTTTACATGGCTCCCCTCCTCCTTTTTCCTAACACCATCGTGTCAGGCAGCAGGATAGCTGCGGCTTAGACCGCTCATATCGTAAAACATTCCATGTGACGGATCGTGAGCCTTTTGCTGCTGCATTAGACTGCAAAAGAAAAAAAAAATGCCCTTGTTCTTGTTCCGTGAGGCTGCGGTAGGGCTCTACGCGTGTTGCGTGGCCTGTGCCGGTTATCAGCGTCTCATCTCGGAGAGCTGTGCTGCTGCGGGGCTGCAGCTTTAACCACATCAGGGGCAGATGCAGCGCGACAGGAAACGAAGGGGCACACGATCAGAAAGAAGTCAATTCGGGAGATGCGTGGAGGGGGGGGTGAGGGGGGAGGATGAGGGGAAAGTCCAGTACTAGTGAGCAAAAACATCGTTCAAGGTTGGAGACAAAAAGCAAAAAATGGGGGAGAGTCCGTCTGTTTTTGGTCTGTGCAGTGAAGTAAGTCAAAACATTTTATTAATTAGGCACGAAGCTTCTAAAAATGAAGGAATGGGGTTTGTGTTTTTAATATGACTTTAACTTAAATTCTTTTAAGTTGTCAGACAAAATAAGAAAAGTGTCACCTTGGCCTCTTTTTTCTTTTCTTTGGCTGTGTTCCGTTTAATCCGCTCTGCATTAAACTGACTGGGTTTCATTTATTCTTCTATATTTTTCCTTCAAAATTTTATAGTGTTTTTTGGCTGCTTATGAAGACCTTTTCTTTTTAAACAATGCTTTGCTCCGGTGAACACACGATGTCAGTGACGAGTGATGTAACCGAGAAAAAAAAAAATTAAATAAATAAATAAAAAAGCAGCTGGTTCCCGTTTCCGCAAAGAATGCAGCAGTTATTCGCTTGGTTTCTGGTCGGTTTTGTATTCCAAACATCCTCCGAAAACAATCCTCCCTCTCTTCCCCTCGGCTGCTCTACGTCCTCGAATCTGGACCGACCTCCAGCGGCCGCGGTTCCGAGTTTAGAGAACTGGATGTGTCACGCTGTGGTCTGGATGCAGCACATCTCTGCTTTTATTTTGTGTTTTTTTTTTTCGAGCTCTTTTCCTGGGTCTGACCAGAGTGTGGCCGCGGGGTTCACTCAGAGGCTGGGAAACACCCGCGGCGGGCTCTCGCCGCATGGCAACACTCGACAAACCCGCCAGATTCCCCCTGCCAACCCGACCCAAAACACTAACTATCTTCTGTTTGGTAACACACAGAGTGAGGCTGAAACTAGTGCTGTGTAAACAGAGGGGGGAAGGAGGAGGAGAGGCTTTAGGGAGCTCTCAGCTAGTCTTTGTCTGTGTGTGTAATTAGACTGAAGACACACACGTCTCTGGGGGTGCCGAACCCCACCGGACGCCCACAACAGGTGGAGTCAGAGGGATGGAGCAGGAAGCGCACACACGGCGGCTCTGAGGAAAACAACCGGGGGGGAATCCGCCCCATATCTCCAAGGCTTTGAGACGAATAGAAATCTGAGGAGGTGGAGGAGTGGATCAAAACAATGTTTTCCTCTTTCCCTCAAGCTGCGAATCCTCTAATCAGAACCCATCCTTCTTTCCGTGACTCGTCTACAGTCTGTGAGCTTTTGTTTCTGCGATCATCAGTGTGTGTGTGTGTGTGTGGCCCTGCGAGTGTTACTTACAGCCAGGTACAGCATGGCGTACAGGGAGAAAGAGGCGTGTCCCGAGAAGAAGGATTTCCTGCGGAGAGAAAGATCATCTTTTAGTCCGGTGTTTTCCGTCCCTCAGCCACACACAGAACAGTGCTCATTGTGTGTGTGTGTGTGCGTGTGTGGATGCTTCTACAAACCTAGCTTCTTGGACTTCGCTGTCTACCCCGTTGCAGGTGTAGTTGGTGATGTATCCCAGAGAGCAGTTGATGGTGGAGAAATCCGGCTGGCACACGGCTAAGAAGTGGGGTCTCATCCGGCCCACGGACACCTTGGCGATGTCGGTGAAAGACTGGCTGACGGCACAGCCGAAGAGAAACACGCCGATCTGAGAGAGAGGACACAATCATGTTAAGACACAACAGCTCACAAGTCTGCTGTTAACTGAATCCTAATTAACACTCATTAGTGTTTGTTGAGTCTTTATTATTTAGATTTTTTTGAAGAATCATTAACACTGGACACTTTTAATAATACTTTTTATGGAGAAAAAAACTGTTTTATTTGACAGTTAATCTCTACAATACTAAACAAAACACACATTAAAGGATCATCTTGTTACTATGTACAGAAAACCCCCCCAGGACAAGAGTCTCCTGTAGAATTCACCTGTTTGTAGAGAGCCGCGACGTAAGGATTCCCGACAAATGACCTGGTGCCCTCGTGCAGCTGATGAATTCTGTAGCATTCTCCAATTGCAATCTAGAAAAAAAAACATTTCAGCCCCCAAACAGAAGAACAGAAAGTTAAAAAAACAACAACAATTCAAATCTAGGGGGTTTGATTTGAATGTGTTTGAGTGGGATTTCCATGCAGAAAAATCATGCAGTAAAAAAATCTAACTCTGGAGTGTTTCATGCAGGAGATCAACAAGTGGATGACAGAAGGTTAGGTGAAACAGGAAGGATGTGGAAAGGACAGACAGGAGGATGAGTAACACACAGACACACGATGAGCATGGCCTGCCTTTCCCTCAGGCAGTCGGGAACGGGGGTGAGTTGGAATGATGGTGCGTTGCTTAGTGATATGGAGATGTCTTTGAGAAAATGGCAAGAAAAAACAAGGAAAGTCCACACTAACGGTGGAGACTGGGTTTGCCTGAGTCAGAATGCCAGAAAAACAAGAATGTAATGTCTACTACACAGCTGAGGTCCGGTGGGCTTCCTTTGAGTACTGTGGTATTCTAGCCAGGTAAATTCCATCAATTTTGGGCCCCTTAGAAAGATCTCGACTACTTCAAGGGGGGGCTCCCGACAAACCAACGCTCTAGGCACAGAGGTGTCAGTCAAGCCTTTACCACCCAGGGTACCTTACTGAGAGACCAGTCAGGTCCTCGCTCTGTGGCATTCCTTCAACGCACCCAACTGCTCCGGAAAATGAGCTGTCCCCCTCTAGGGTCAGACACTACTATGAATAGAAGTGGGCAGACATCTACATCCAATCATCTATCCATTTACCTAATCCGATTTGGTTGCTGGAGCCCATCCCGGCTATGATTTTGGCTCGCAAGGCTAAATAGCCTCCTTATGAAAAATAAAAAACACTTTTCCCTGAATCTATTCATTCATTTGTGATGTTTCACTTCGCTTCTTCTATTTAGACGTCAGTCTGCTTGTTCCTGCTCTTAGTCTCGAGGGGAGTTACACCTCGAGATGCACAGCGCGTTCATTTAGCATCATCACAGTCAGTCACACTTAGTTCATGATGGTGCAGAAAGTTAGAGCTGTTTTTTATTTATTTAACAAAAAAATATGTGATATGCTACAAAAACAAAAGCAAAACAAAACATGGGAACTTGGCTGTTGCCCCACAGTAATGGTTCATTTGACTGCGGTTCCCAGTGTTCAGGATTTCTCTGTGTGTGTATTGCTGATCTGAAAAAGCACACCTATCCTGCCTGTTGGGTGGTCAGCGGGCCGGCTCGCGGCCAGGAGAAACAAACACGGAGGCGTATTGGTTTGCTCGCGGGGACCATTGTCATTGAATTGTTCCGATCAGAGCCGCTGATTAGAGCCCCGGGAGGTTGACCCGGGCCACAGAGGTTTATTTTGTTTGTCAGTATTTGCATTCAGAACCTCTCCTCCCCCTGCTCTGTCTTGGCTTATTACTTTGAATCTGGTTGTCTGAGAGCAAACAAGTCGCCTATGCTCAAACCACACGGTTAAAAAAAAAAAAAAAAGACATATTTGTCAAAAAAACGACATGCCTTTTGAAAAACTCGGGCTTGTTATGGCCAGACGAGCTTCTGGGTTGGTCCTACAGCTGCCACTCTCTGGGATTTCCTTAGCAGCCGAGACGAACAAGAGGGCCCGGCTGAAATCTGCTACCGCACGCGTGCACGTGTGTGCATTTACTGTACGTGTGTGTGTGGAAGGAATGGTGTCGGCATTGGCAGTAGACGCCACTAATGCAAGGCAGCTGTGCGAGACACGCCAGCGTTGCCCACACGTGAACATGTGAGCCAGAATGAGTAGAAGAGCTGAGCTGGTGGAGCGGCTGCGGTGTGTGTGTGTGTGTGTGTGTGTGTGTGCCCACCGAGCTCGTGGCAGGGATACGAGTCTGGGGACCTGTGAGGGGGCCCGTGCCACCGAGGAGCACGGGGGCGCTAAAGATCACCTAGCCTCACGTGCTAATTGCCGCACACCCACTGCAACATCATTATACCCTGTTTCCACTACTCTTTAATCTGCTGGCACGGCACTAAAGCTCGCCCCCTCCTCTGGAGCACGAGTCCAGTCGAGTGGGGGGGGGGGGGGGGG